GGCGCTCTCCAAGTCAGTGCTTCCGGCGACCTAGCAAACTACATGGTACCTGGAAAGGTATTCAAGGGCATGGGCGGCGCCATGGACCTCGTCAGCAACCCAGAAGCTACCAAGGTAGTGGTCGCTACTGAGCACGTCGCAAAGGACGGATCAAGCAAGATTGTTCAGGAATGCAAGCTGCCGTTGACGGGAGCCAAGTGCGTCAGCACTATCATTACAGACATGTGTGTATTTGAGGTCAACCGGAAGCGTGGTACTTTGACGCTTACCGAGACTGCGCCTGGTGTGAGCGTCGAGGATGTCAAGGCAAAGACAGATGCTAGCTTCGAGGTTGCGCCTGATCTTAAGACCATGGAGTAGACATTTTGTGTAGTTTTTCTGGCGTAGCATACCCAAGTGATGATCGTTGTCAATTTCCATACACAGCCTATCTTGTGTCGTGATGCAATTGTGAGGAAACGCCAACCATACGACAAAGCGAAAAGAATTGACCGTTTTACGCGTCATTTTGATCGTCGCAGGCAGTTTGATCATCCAACAGATGTCTCATGACCCAAACAGAAAAACAAAGCATCGCGATCGCGATAGCCAGATCGTCGGTTACCCAAAGTACAAGCTTGGTTCTTTTGGTCGCTTCCGATAACAGCGCATGCATCACAGCACGCGCAATCTCCAAAACAGGACGTTGCGATAACAGAAAAGAAACTTCAGACTATATTTCCATCGCACCTGGGCATGCAACAAAACCGTTGACGATCTCCCACGAGAGCGGTGCCTGGGAGGTATCGTCGAGTTGGCATACCGAATTTCGGGGGCAGCCAAGCTGTCCAAGTGGGCGGCTGAAAGGCTTCGCACGGCTTGGTCCACGCTCCATCCAGCACCTGGGCACAACGAAAAGCTTGGTACCGCCGATCCGCGATCAGCCCTCCACATGCGCTTTCATCAACAAACCACAAAACCCGCCATGTCATACCTACATGGCTACACTCATCCGAACTGCTATCCGCGACTCCTCCCTTATCTAATCCACGTCTGATTACAAAAGCCTTCGGAAACAGAACAACATCCGCAGCTCGTACAGCTAACGCCCGAGTCAGTAACGCTGATGTCAAGCCTGCCGATCGCTTGTCTGCCTTAAGAGCGCTATGCATGGTTTGGCATGGTTCAAGCATAAGCTTGGTGCAGTCGGGGTAGCCCTTCACTCGTCGGCAGCACAACTCCGCCAATCGCACGACAGATAATCCCGATTGTGCCGCAACCCTTGCGCCCGCCCCCATGGGGTCAGCATGGGTAGCGCCGTTTCTGGGCAGTTCGGAGGCGGCTGGTGGTTGCGGTGTACATGGCGCTACCGGGAGCCCGTTGAGGAGGGGAGGGGAATAAGTAAGCTGGTCGCGCACTCGGGGTTTCCTGTCAACGCTTTTCTTGAGCTGCGTTCCAGATTCTGTTTTCTCGGCTTGTACCAATTGGGGTTTCTGAGGTTGTTCAATATGAGCCTGGACAAGATGCACGATGAGAAATTCGAGAATGGGAGTGGGAGTGAGCGGTTGGAGGCGGGGTTTGGTGAGGATGGGAAAGCTGCGAAGACGCTGTTGATGAAGATGGATGTCCGGTATGTTTAACTTCTTCGATCTACTACATTCTTTCAGAAGCATGGCGCTGACAGGCACAGCATCCTACCCGTACTCGCTCTCCTCTTCCTGTGCTCCTTCATCGACCGTACGAATGTCGGCAATGCGAAGATCTTGGGTCTCGAGAAGGACATCAACATCAACGACCACCAATACTCGATCGGCCTGTGCGTCTTCTACGCCACGTATATCGCCAGTGAGCTCCCGTCGAATCTGGTGCTGAAGAAGATGTCGCCTAAGATCTGGCTGCCGCTCTTGACGGCGGTGTGGGGGATCTTGACGATGTGCCTTGGTTTCGTCACCAACTTCGCGTCATTTGTCACTGTTCGCGCGTTGCTTGGTTGCGCTGAGGGTGGCCTGCTCCCGGGTATGGTACTCTACCTTACTGGCTTCTACCGCAGACAAGAGTTGGCTTTGCGCATTGGTATCTTCTACACAGCAGCGTCCCTATCGGGTGCTTTCGGCGGTCTGCTGGCCCGCGGACTCAATGCGATTGGACCTGCTGGAGGTCTTGAAGGGTAAGAGACAGCCCCTCGCTTCTAACAACCGATATCTAACTGTGTAAATAGTTGGCGATGGATCTTCATCGTGGAGGGTCTCCTAACCGTACTCGTTGGTGTATGCTCCGCGCTCTTCCTACCCAACTCCATCGAATCAGCCAAATTCCTCACCCCCGACGAGAAAGAGCACGCTCGATTCCGGCTCGGCGAGCAAAGCGCCTCCCACGAGCGCTTCGACTGGGCAGAAGTCAAGCGCGGAGTATTCAACGTTCAAGTCTGGCTCACTGCGTTGGCATACTTCGCCATCCTGAGCGGACTGTACAGCTTCGGTCTCTTCCTCCCTACCATCATCAACAACGGTTTCGCCAAGGACCCCAACGAAGCACAGCTCTGGACCGTAATACCTTACGCCGTGGCATCAGTCTTCACCGTAGCAGTCGCTCTCCTATCCGATCGTCTTGCCCTACGTGGCCCCATCATGCTGTGCACCCTACCCGTTGCCATCATCGGCTACGGCGTCATCAGCTCATCCACCAACCCCAAGGTCCAATATGGCATGACTTTCCTCATGGCAACTGGCATGTACGCTACTGTACCGTGCATCCTCTCTTGGAACAGCAATAACTCCGCTGGCCACTACAAGCGCGCAACGACCTCTGCCTTGCAGCTCGCGATTGCGAACGCGGGTGGTTTTGTGGCCAGCTTCGTGTATCCGAAGAGCGAAAAGGAGAATCATTTTCACAAGAGTCATAGCATCATGTTGGGACTGCTTTGCGCGGCTTGGGTTTTGTAAGTTTTTAGATCCTATGTTTGGCTGGAATCTTTGCTAACGTGTCGATAGGATTGCTGCGAATGTTCTGTGGGTGCGGAAGATTAACAAGGACAAGGCGAGTGGGAAGTATGCTGAGTTTGAGGGTAGAGGTGATGACCGTGACCCGGAGTTCATCATGGTTATGTAGATTCATCAATGAAGTGGCTACATGGTGTAACTTAAGCGACCCATCTAAGAGTACATCCATGCCGATGTAGGCTCCAGGGTAATCAGTCTTTTGCTAGATCGACATGCTTTCACGTCCTCATGAAGCGTAAGCAACTTAACCCTCGATGTCGTCACCAGACGCGACTGACTTCTGCTTCTGCGACTCATCCCGCTCATTCGTCAACTTCTCGTCGTCGACACGTCTCAGATCCTCCTGCTCCTTCTCCCATTTCACCAACCACTTGCACTTGGAGTCATCAGGAGCCAGATACAAAGGACGCGTGACAGCCAGCCGCCAGTACCCCATACTCCTATCACTAATACTGATCTGTGGGTCTTCGAATGTGCGCTCGAGCGCATCAAAGAAGGCCGTGCACTCGGTCTGTAAGCCCAGAACGCGGAGACACCGTAGGATACGCGTGATGCGAAGATGATTATGGTCGAACCTAATGGCCCAGTTGGCGAACTTCTTGCGATGATCTGGCGCGCGGACGATGTGGTATGGAAGGGGTTTGGATGCGGAGATGTTTGTGTGAGCACCTGGTGGGAAAGAGGCTGGTTCAGATGATTCGCCTGGCTTCGACTCCGCTTCTGACTTGTTGGATACTGTGAAGCCGTAGAAGCTGAGCATGCGCTCGAAGCTTCGTCGTAGGTTCTGCCGTAGCTCACTTCGTGAACGGAACGCTTGCATCACCTCGAGGTTGACGACTGGGGCCTGTAGATGGTTAACATGCTGCCAAAGTGATTGAAGACATCGTTGCATTCTCATTATACTCTGGAGGTATTCGCGATGCTTTACTTCAACATGTGTTGATTTCAACTACAGCGAATACCTCCTGGGCACGATAACAGTAAATTGGAAGGCTTACTTCACTGTTGTATGGAGAACCCTCTGGAAGCGGAAAGAGCATCTGGATATAGTTATGGGATGCTTCCAGTCTGCTGTCTGGCCATGCCAGTATCTCGTCGAGTTGCCGACCCAGGGCGTCCTTGGCGCGTACATCGGGGTCGTAGAAGCGGATGATGAGTTGGCTCTTGCCAGCGGTCGCAGCCTGATCAGCCTTTGAGGCATCCGACAGGACCATTTTCGCGCGCTTGTTGAATACAGTTGATGTTGGATATTGAAGTCGCAAACAATGTATAAATTATGGGTGAGAGGTCAGAAGTACGCAGGTAAGGCTGCACCCTCACACCTTGTACCTCTGTAGAGTGCGCCTTCCCTGAACTGGGCTAGCTCCATCGCGGCTCCAGGGCTTTTACCTCCCCGCCACGACGGAAACGCATGACTGCTACAAGTTGGTGAAAGAATACGGTGCACGATTTCTGAGGTGGGAAAGTTATGTTGTTATTGAATCATCTTGTCTACCAATTCAATTCTGATGTAGGCTGCAGAGACCTGTGTGGACTCCGCCGCGGCTGTCGCAACAGCGACGATCATTCCGCAAATGTCCGCATGCAACCTAGAGACACTGCATACTGCCTGGGTAGCCGCGGGTGGTATCGCGCTAAGGGTACCGCGATCGTCGTCGTCCTTCGTTCACACTCTGGCGACGTGTCTTCGCCCCATTGAAGCCCTGGAGTCCCGCGGGATGAAAGCTGAACGCTGACGTCATCCGCGCAGATTGTTGAACAGCGCCGCTTCCAGGCCCCATTCACTACCCGTGCGCCTTACTTGGACGCTTGGTAGCCAGCGCAAACGCAGGGTACATGATAGACAAACCTGCTCAGCCCCTACCAACGCAGGATTATTCACGCGCTATCAGCGATAATGTTTTCCTTAAATCTGACTATGGCACTGGCGAAGGCTCTGCTTGCTCAACCAAACTCCTCTGCTACCCACAACCATTTGGAAGCAACTCTCTTTGATCTAGGACATATATCTTGATACTCACAATGAGCTCTGAAGGTGTGTGTTGATGGTGTTTCTTTCCGCAATTCAAATCTAACAACGTTATAGAACAGAAGCCGACACCAGAGAATGAAACCCTATTCCAGGGTTTCGAATGGAACGTCCCGGATGATCACAAGCACTGGCGACGCCTTGCCGAGGAGCTTCCCAAGCTAAAAGTCATCGGTATTACCAACATATGGCTACCCCCTGGCTGTAAAGGTGCCAACCCTCAGGGCGTTGGCTACGACATCTACGACCTGTACGATCTCGGCGAATTTGAGCAGAAGGGTCAAAAGGGAACCAAATGGGGAACCAAAGAAGAGCTACTCGAACTTACGAAGGTCGCCAAGGAGCATAGCGTGGGCCTGTACTGGGATGCCGTATTGAACCACAAGGCTGGAGCCGACCAGACGGAGAAGTGCCGTGTTGTTGAAGTTGACGAAAATGATCGCACTAAGGAGGTTTCTGATGCCTTCGAAATCGAGGGATGGCTAGGCTTCGATTTTCCGGGCCGTGGCGAGCAGTACTCCAAGATGAAATACCACTGGTAGCATTTCTCAGGTACGGACTGGGACCAAGCTACCGAGAAGAAAGCCATCTATAAGATCCTAGGTGACAACAAAGGCTGGTCGCAATCCGTGGACGATGAGCAAGGCAACGCGGACTACATGATGTTCGCCGACATTGACTACTCGCACCCTGAGGTTCAAGAAGACGTCAAGAACTGGGGCGTGTGGATCACTAAAGAGCTTGGCTTGAAGGGCTTCCGGCTCGACGCTGTGCAGCATTTCTCCTCAAGATTTACCAATGAATGGATCAAGAATTTGCGCAAACAGTGTGGAGACGACATCTTCGTGGTCGGCGAGTTCTGGTCGGGAGATGTAAAAGAGATGAGCGATTGGCTCGACGATATGAACCACGAGTTCGCTCTCTACGACTCGCCTCTCCTGAACAACTTCGGGTCCATCTCGACAAGCGAATCGGCGGACCTGAGGAAGGTCTACGATAATACACTCGTCCAAATGCGTCCTACCGATGCCGTTACGGTCGTTACAAACCACGACACACAACCTGGGCAGGTGATGGAGACCAAGATCGAGGGCTTCTTCAAGCCTCTTGCCTACGCTCTCATTCTGCTGAGGCAGGAAGGCTACCCATGCCCATTCTACGGCGATCTTTATGGTCTCTCAGAGCCGCATGAGACGCCTGCTTCATGTGGTGGAAAGCTCGCTGATCTCATTCTCGCACGAAAACTCTTCGCGTACGGAACACAGGAGGACTACTTCAACGAAGCCAACTGCATCGGATTTGTGCGTCGTGGAACATGGGACAAGAAAGCGGGTCTGGCGTGTGTGATGAGCAACGCGGGACCGGGTCAGATCAAGATGGCTGTTGGCGAGATGCATGCCGGTGAGAAGTGGACTGACATCCTTGGGTGGGAGGAGAGTGAGGTCGAGATAGACGGCGAAGGTTATGGACTGTTCAATTGCCCAGGCACCAGTGTCGCGGTTTGGGTGCGAAGCGATGCTGAAGGGCGGGACCAATTTCCTACAAATTTCGATGCGAACGTATACCACAGAGATTAGATAGGCGGCATTTTGTTGTAGAATGCGACGGGGAGGACTGCGAACACCCTGAGTGTGTATCGCCCCTCTGGAGAATTGAATACTGCGCCTGACGAACTGGCGGTGTGGACCTTATCAAGCCTCAAACTGCTTGCTTTTCTCTTATCAAGACCCTGTGCGCCGCAATCCAAGGGTTGCAACTCATGGAACCTGCGGGAAGATGGTTGGGGAGATCGGCGATGAAGCTTCCGCTTCGGGACCAGCGCGGAACCAATCAATCGCGACAACGCCGACCATTTTAGACGTTTCGCGGCGTTTCTCTAGTAAGCGAGCATGCAGCGTACCCGCCGACAGTGTATACTCGATTCTCATGGTTGCAGGAGCGTCTATTGACGTCTACACAACATAGCCAACGGCTCCGTGATGCCGGAATTTGTTGCATGTGACATGTGACCCCCGCGATCGCTATGTCTAGATCGTGGGTCTCGTGTCAGGGCACGCGCATCAATTTAACTCCGCTCCTCCGCTTTTCTAGCTTCTGTCGCCCTCGACGAGCCGAACACTCACAGCCCCTTTGATTCTTTTCTTCAGACGTCTACTCTGCCCTGCGTTTCTAACGACGAGCGCCTCGCTGCAGACTTCCCATGTCGCTGATTCAGCATGTTACACAGCAAGAGGGCACTGATCGCGAGGAGGCGTTGGTAGATTTGTTCTTACCGCCTGTCGACCGCCAGATTAGCCGACAGGATGCTGCGGAACGTCGGCTTTCTCTTGAGAGCGCCATCTCGGGAGCTGGCTTCTTGAGCGCACAAGGAAAGAGCGTGAGGAGAGTTATCAGTTACGACATAATACCCAAGCCCGAGGAGCTCGCACCGGGCGAGGAACCTGGAGGCTTGACGCCATACAAGGTGCCGACGGGCAAGCGTATCGGTAAGTTTGGCTGCATCGCATTCGCCTTCTGACCACTAACATGCGATTACAGCACAGGTTATCGTAACGGTTTTTGCGTGTTGGTTCGCTAGCGGCATCGTTTTCGGTTTTGCAGCTTTGAAGCCAATTCTTATCAAGGAAGGCGTTTTCAGCAATCTGTGCACACCCGAAGAGGTGGATGCCGACGTTGAAGTTTGCTTCGAGCAAGATCTCAGGTTGAACTTCTTTTTTTCTTTGGCATCGACTACGGCGAATGTTTCTGCTCTCCCCGTCGGTACCCTGCTCGATCGCTATGGGCCCAAGCTTTGCTTCCTTTGCGGTTCTTTCTGTCTCGCGCTTGGAAGTATCCTAATGAGTCTCGCGTTTCAGATCGAGCATTTTGACGGATATACAATCGGAAACTTCTTCCTTGCCCTTGGAGGCACATTTGTCTTCCTGCCCTCTTTCCAGATTGCTAACGCCTTCCCCAAGTACGCGGGTAGCATCGTTGCGCTCGTTACTGGTGCATTCGACGCTTCAGCAGCAGTCTTTCTCTTCTACAGGCTCATGTACGATGCTAGCGACAGGGCGTTCAAGCCACAAACTTTCTTCCTGGTCTATCTCATCGTTCCAGCAGCCATCGCTATCGCGCAGCTTACCTTCTTACCGACCGAGAACTACAAGACTGAGGCACAACTAGAAATGAAGCTTCAGAGAGCTGAAGACGCTATGCGAGACGTCCATTCTTCGGATGATGAGCTACCCGATAACGAGATCTGGAAGCGAAGGAAGGCCCGTAGCTCGCGGCGCAAGGAGAGACAGAGCAGACTTGATGAGCTGATCGGAAATGAGGCGGCTCGTAAAATCCGGGAAGAGAAGGCTGAGCAGAGATTGGAAAACTCCGGTGTCTGGGGAGCACTGCACAACAAGTCTGCCAAAGACCAGATGCTGACGCCCTGGTTTATATTGCTCACTATTCTGACTGTCATACAGATGGTGCGAATGAACTTCTTCAGTTAGTAAACCCCTCCAGTACGCTTCAACATTGCTAACATATCGCAGTCGCTACTATCCGCGAACAGTATACGTACATGCTTGGATCAGTCAAGCTCGCAGAAAAGGTCAACGACTTCTTCGACGTTGCTCTGCCCGTCGCTGGAGTTGTCGCAACCCCCTTTTTAGGCGCATTGCTCGATAACGTCAGCACACCTGGCGTACTCTCGCTCCTCGTTGTCATCATCGCTGCTATCGGAGTCGTCGGCTCTATCTCAACTCTTTGGGCTGGATATGTCAACGTTCTTCTATTTGTCTTCTTGCGCCCGCTTTACTATTCCGCCATGTCTGACTACGCGACCAAGGTCTTTGGTTTCGCTACGTTTGGACGAGTTTACGGAACCATCATCTGCGTGTCGGGCCTGTTCAACTTGTCGCAGACTGCAATCGACGCCTTGACCAAGGGCTTGTGGCACGGCAACCCAGTCCCAATCAACATCATCCTGGCTGCTTTGGCGTTTGTAGTAGGCACGGCACTCGTCATATATGTCTCGGTACAGGTTTACCGTATGAGGAAGAAACTCGACGAGGAAGACGCCATTACCGTGACAAACACCGAAGTAGGTTCCATCATGGAAAGCCTGCTCGAAGAGGACGAGCCGAGGTCCTACGGCACAGTCAACCGCCAGCGACAGCCATGGGAGGTTTAATATGGTGCTGCGAAACTCTACTTATTCTTACCTCCGACATTTCCAGACCAGTTCGACGGGATTTCTTCGCCGCTTTTATTACGAGTACGATTCAAATATGGCCGTCACTGAATCATGCTCCCTATACTAATTGGTCTCCTTCCTAACGTATTTAAAAGTTGTCATATTCTGTACGAGCGGGCGTTCATATTCATCGCGTTATATTGCAGACTGTCATCAGCCGAGCGTCTTTATCAATAATAGTCATCGTCAAGCGAGCGTTATGGGTACGGGTTTTCGGGTCATGTTACATCTCATTATGTTTACGGCGCCAGATTGCAAGTCCATGTAGACTAGATTGCGATTTGTAGAAATTGTTCAATGTTTCTGATATCCATTGTCATTGTCCGTTGTTGTTTGTTCCAGTCCAAATAAAATCTAGAATCCATGCAATCATGTTTGCGTCAAGGCTGCAGATACAGGCTGTCAAGACCTCGATACCACTTGCCCAGGTGAGCGAGGCAGTGACGCTAAAATTATGCCCCTCTTAGCGCTGGTGTGGGGCTCTGCGGCCCAGCCCCCATTCTCGAGCTTTCGGTTACCGAACCCCTCACGCATCGTACGACACTTTCTATCCACCACGAGCAGACAGGGCCGATATCGCTGCCTGGGAACAACCACCGCTGGTTCTAGAACCGTTACATTCGCTTGGTAAACGGGGTCGTTGTCTTGGAGCAATGGGCATGCTTTGCCTTATGACGCGTTGCGGTGGTACATCGTCTGCCTAAGCTGACATCCTCGCCGCATGCTGGGGCCTAGGTACACCGTTGTCCAGGAACAGTCGAGTTGACAAGTGGTTTCAAAGTGAATCTCTGGCGCAGCTACCTAGGTACACTGCTGACGTCACCTTGAGAAGGTTCGCCTTGACGTGCTGCTTCGTCTGTCGGCCACCTGGCCTTCCCTGTTGGCACATTGGTGACTCGAAGCATGACAGAGACTTATTCACCCAAAATATGCAGCATTTTGGTGTTTGGCGCGCTTTTTCAGAAACATCTCGTTCTCGGAAATACCCAAGGCGCATTCGATAGACGTTACTATCTGTAAGAAGAGTTGGGATGCTGGAAACGGAAGAAGACGAAAGGTAGCCTGACACAATGGAGTCATCCATGTCCTGGGAGAGAAATAACCTCAGCACAGCCGAGTGAGCCCCCATCTCCAAGCTCAGCATGCATCGCGAAACTCGTACTCTGTCGTCATGGCATCTGTATCTTCATGGCGTTTTGCAGCCCTCGACCCAACTCGAAACCTTGACCAGACACATGATCAACGTCGAAAGTGTCGTTTGCGTTGATGACAAGTATCTTTCTGCATGCCATCGTCATGGCCGCGTTCACGGTCTTCGCCTGGGGCCATCTTTACAACCCCAAACCCGCGCCACAGCCTCCAATTGCAGGTTTGGGGCCGATGGAGAGCGAACATGCAGTACGCCTCCCTCAGTTCGTTGCGCAAGACTCAGTCGAGATGGAACAGAGCTGCTGACATTCCTAGACATTGAAAGGAGGCGTGGGAAACGATCAAGGGTCAATGTTACATGTTGACAGCTTCTGACATTTGGTCTACCCAGCTGCTTGGGTATGATCGGTCCTGAAAACATATATGTATGGCATTCATTCTGGTTATGGTGTCCCAAGCACTTTCAACGCATCATTCTTTCCCTCTCTCATATCTTCTCCTCAACACTAGGTCAGCCTGAAACCATTGCCGAAGCTCGCTTTCTACCATGGGTATCCGGTTCTCCCAGTGGGTTGCTCCGTCCATTGTACTTCACAGTACCCTCACATCTGCTCTCGTCGTACCTAGAGCCGCGTACAGCGGATATGGCGAGCTCCATGGCACTGGAAACATCCATCCGACCACCATAGTCGCGTCATCTTCCGTGGCTTCTCAGGCCTCATCCCTTGGTACGTCGTGCGTTACTTCCGGGACCATAACCATAACGCTATCAGGCTCGAGTATTGTGCCGCCGGCTTCCATAATTGGCACCTATCCTGTCGTGAGCGGCCCCACCATCACTGGTGAGAACAAAGCAGATTCAAGTTGACGCGCAACATCTGATACTACTGCAGGTTATCCTTCAGGTTCTTCTTCGAGCTCGGTCGTATCGAGCATCACTGTGGAGTATCCTGCCGAATCATCCGTGCCACCTCCTGAGAATCCAGCGACTTCAGACTATCCTGCTGTCACTCCTACTTCGAATGTTGCTTCGTCTCTTGGCGGCGGATATGGCCCTTCCCCTGCGCCTGTCTCCCCTCACCTGAGTAAGCTTACGAGCAGTACGATTTCGGAGAGCACGGCAACTCCAAGTGACTACAGTACGTCTTTTAATTCCATCACTTCTCGCGCGTTTTACTATATATATCCCAGACAGAGGTTGTTGGAACACAGATAACTAACCCTGTGATAGATACGCCCTTGCCGTATGCCACCAACCCCGCGACAGCATCAGTAGCACCCTACCCTATCACCTCTCTTCAAGGCGCACATGTATCACACAGTGCAGGCCCAGTTGGTACTTCACCAACTCTCCATGTACCGTATCCGACAGGAAACGTTACATCGAAGCCTCCTTATGGAACGGGGTATCCGACGTCAAGCACCGTACTGCCGTATCCGGAAGAAAGCGATACTTACTTATCGCAACGGTCCGCCACATCTTCTGCATTAGGTTTGTTGACTGACACATCACGAAGTCGCATCAGTATGTGCCGCTGACTTTGTCTAGCTACTCCTGATTATCCGACGGCATCCACACCTCTTCCCATTTCTTCGGCACAGTCTTCAGCCCTTCCTGACTATCCGGCATTGCCTTCGGCCCCTGCAATGTCTTCGGCGACATCTTCAGGCTCTCCTGTCTATTCGGCATCAACACAGGCTCCTCCTGTCTATTCGGCAACACCGACCCTTCCTGTCTCGTCACTCTCCTCAGCCTATCCTGTTTCGCCAGCATCGTCTTCTTCCCCTCCCATGCACCCGGAATCCTCTTCAGCCCCTCCAGACTATCCGGCATCGCCTTCAGGTCATCCCACCCCTTCGACGTCGCCTTCTGCTCCTCCTATGTACGAGACACCGTCGTCAGACTCTCCTGTTTATTCAGCATCAGCAACGGTCTCTGCTGGCTCTTCGTCAACATCGCCAGCCTATTCTGTCTCGCCGACATCGTCAAGCCTTCCAGACTATTCGGCATCAGTACCGGTTCCTCCCGCCCCGCGGACATCATCTCTGGCTTACCCTGTTTCACCGCCATCATCTTCAGTCCCGCTGATGTCTGCGACGCCATCATCAGCCCCTCCCATCGCCTCGACGCTCTCTTCGGCCTACCCTGTTGCGCCTACATCGTCTTCGGTCGCCCCCGGGTATCCAACGTTGTCTTCGGTCGCTCCCGCGTATCCAGCGTCGTCTTCGGTCGCTCCCGCATATCCAGCTTCATCTTCGGCTCCTCCAGGCTATCCCACGGCTTCTTCAGGTTCCCCTCTTGAGCCAACGCCATCTTCAACTCCACTCGTAGCACCTACTCCAATTGCCAGTTCTACGCCAAGCGTCTACGTCCCAGCCACCTCTCTCCCGCCAATGTCAGGGAGCATGACTACAATGTACTCGGAAGTTCCGCCTGTGGCTACTGATTACCCGGCATCGCCTGGGGTACCTGCTTCCGAGATCTCCACTGGTACTGAGCAGGCCGGTATTTATTCCCCTTCGTTCTCATTGTCGAATCTCAAATGCTTACTCCACACTAGATTACCCAGTGGCACCTACTACGATGATCACCAGCGCTATTACGTCCTCCGCGAACTCGAACATGTATGTCACGCCTGCTCAACCGACAGGAGGATATGCAGCGTTCGCTGGAGTTGGTACCTGAGTCTCATGGAGATGAAACTGGTGACTCTGTCCTATGGACTGAAATTGGTGATGCAGCAGCAAACGCTAGGGTTGGCCTGTACTCGTACGCCTGTATCAATTTCCTTTGTTCCACGTGTTGACATTTGGGTAATGTTTTGGGTTTTGGAGTTTGCCGTGGTATCTAGAAAACCTACTGAATCCACTCGTTTACCAAGCGATGCACGACCATGAAAGTAATTTTTTCGAAAGCTGCGTGGCCGTTTCTGATTGACAGGGTACAATCCCGGCTTGTCGGATTGCTCAGAGAACATGACGTGGGGTTCGCGGATCAATAGTCCGTGCGTCTTCGCGTTGCTATGGCAGGGAAGTAGCGTCGCGTGGGCGGCTAGTGCTGTTTACCGCTCACCGTCTGAGCTCGCACCACCACATATTACATAGACGTGCTGCACAACTTCCTTAGACTACCAAAGTTGAACAACCAAACTCATAGCAGGTGCTACCCTTCGACAACATACATAACCCCCCAAACCGTCAAGTTGGCGCGCCTCAAAGAATCCCCGGTCCAGATGGATCCGCCTCCGCCTCTGTCGCCAAACAAGGCACCCTTCTCGCCTGGGATGCCCATCTTTCCTGCCAGCCCCGACCGCGCTGCTGGCTCAAGATCTCCGTATGGCGACTCCAGGGGCTCATCGCCAGTCCTCTCGCCCTCGACACCCAACCTCCGCCCCCACTCGCCCCTACGACACACCCACCGCCGAACCGACTCGGATGTTTCCGTCACAGCCCTCACCGGCATGTTCGAGAACCTCGAGGTTAAGGACCCACGGGAAGCATGCAAGCGCTTCAAGGAGTTGCTCGACAAGGAGAGGATACGACACGCGGAGAAGTTGAACAAGATTGAGAAGGAACATGCCAAGAAGGAGCGCGACCATGAGCTGTCATCAAGCCGACGCGACGTGCGCATTGACGAGCTGAAGCAAGAACTCGAGCAGACAAAGGAATCGCTTGCGAATGCTGTTACCAAGGAAATATTTGAGAAGAGAGTCAATGCGAGCAAAGCTGCCATCGACAAGTGGGCACAGGCTTTCAAGGACAACGAAGAGAGGTGGAAGAGTATGGACGCCAAAGCTGTAAGTTTACCATGCTCTTCTATACAGTTCCACCTATTAACATGTTCCAGACGGAAGCAGCATCGCGAGCCAAGTCCTACGAGGGCAAATATCGACACTGCAAGACGGAGTACATAGCGGCCAACAACGAGAAGCTCCGATGCTCCGCAATGATACCGCAGCTCCAGGCCAAGATTCAGAGCATCCAGCGTAGCTTGCAGCGGGCCGAGTCAGATGTCAAGTTCAAGACTGATGAAGCCGCCAAGTACAAGAACGAGGTGTACAGCCTACAGGTGGAGATTGAGAGCGTTAGCAACCGACTGAACGAAGAAGTGCAGACACTGAAAGAGAAGCTTGGTCTCGTCGAGGGCGAGCGGGACGCTCTTAAGACAAGCTTGAAAGAAGAGGAGGTTCTGCGCATCGCTGCAGAAGGCCAAATACCGCTTCCATCAGCCGACCCGGAAGAGACCGATGAATTCGCATCACCCGTTCGATCACCACGCAAGCCACGCAATCTAGCGCGCGAGGACGAAGACAAGGAAAATGTGTCGCCAAAGAAGAACGCAGTTGATCTGCGCTTCATTCAACAGGAGCTGGCAGCAGAGAGACGTGCTCGCGAGCGTGCCGAGGAGCAGATCGACTTCATGAAGATGGAGTGCCAGTTTCAGTGCTGCTCTTGCCGCATCGCTGAGAACAGGGGAAAGCACTACGTCCACGATGACTCCCTCGAAGCCGAGATGCAGCGCATCAAGGTCTCGCTACCCATCTCTACGCCCCCAGCCAGCAACCACGGAGACGATGTTATGGAAGGTGTAGTGATCAAGCAAGAGTCGGTGGAGAACGAGCGTCCCATCACACCGCCTGAGGATGTTGTAGTCAAGACAGAGTCCGAGGAGCCCGAGACCGTTGTCGCCTTCTCTCCAGACACAGGAACCTTCCGCTCTGTGCCATCACATATGAAGTCTCGTCCGTCAGCAGACATCGTCACACATGCACAGCCATCGCCTGTAGTCGAGATGACTGATGCACCAGCGCCCGACGCGGTCGCTCCTGCCAACATATCTTTGCCACAGTCCCGTCCGGCATCGAGAGTCGACTTTGTTCTTCCTAGCCGCAGGGAGAGCAAGGCTGTAGACATCAGCATCCACGAGGACGCCGTCGACGACGACAGCGAGGACGAGGACATGTCACCACCGACGCCCGACAGGGAGCCTACTGGGCCTACAACGCCCTATCTCACTCGCACCATTACCACAACAACTACCATCCCCCTCCACTTCTCCCCTGCCACTCCAGCGTTCAAGGCTGGCCGTGGGCCTATGACTCCTTCGACTGTAGCCCACGCTGCAGCCAATGCACAGACCCCTGTTCTGGGTGAACTGTCACTCAACAAGCTGGGCATCGACCGGGAAGCCGCACTCGCAGCGATCCGTGAGCGCAGAGGACGTGCTAGAAGCATGGCCGCTGGTCACGGAACGCCGATGAAGCAGATGGTCGAGGGTGTAAAGGACCGCAGAGACATTAGTGCGCCTGTGACTCGGGTACGAAGTGTATCACGGATACGAAGATGAGCGATCGGAGATGGACGTTGTGGAGGTGGCTGGTGATTGCCGTGCTGACTAGGGTGCAGCGAGAGTCGTGATACCATTGATTTCCTGTTGCGACTTTACCTTGCGCTTAGCGGCATTGCATGGCGTTGGAGGCTATTGCTGCATTTGAACTTTCCCGGCGTTGTCTGTCTGCATAGATGTTTTGCACAAGCAACGACTGCGTTATATACCACAGTTTTGCTTCTTGCTAGTTCTTACGATATTGTAATTGAGTATTGACATTTTCAACTTTGTCGGATATTCTGTGCTGAAGATGCTGTAGATCTGAATGGTTATTCGTGCTTGTGATAACCGTCTTTTTGAACACGAATTCACCTATGTAAACGATACATTGGTTGGTTACGGCGATTGACCATTTTCTTCGCGTGGTGTTCAAGAGACGAGATGGGCGGGCCCCAGCGTGCACACTTCCGCCAAGCCCCGCTAGCGCACGATTGGCGGTTCAAGCGAACGTCGAAATTGATCGCACTCGAACACCTGGATTATCTCTTGCGACAGCGACTACGAACTTCGACGCCCAACCCTCTTTCTCCCTTCCACACCGACAACCGCCATTATGTCTGACAACGGAGAAATCGAGGTCGAGAACCCCACCGGCATTGCCATCCTCCCCAAGGATGTCACCGACGAGCAGGGCAGCGTAAAGCTGTTCAACAAGGCAGGCTTATTACAACTTCCGCCCACACGCACAGTACTGACTTTTCGCAGTGGTCCTACGAGGAGGTCGAGGTCCGCGACATCTCATTGACGTACGTTTCCCCCACGATATCGCGCCGCACACCCGTATAAAAGGACAATGGTGGCATTGGATACTTTGTATTACGCTGCGAGACCTTCGGCTAACTGAAGCCGCAGCGACTACATCCAGATCCGCTCGCCTGTCTACATCTCACACTCCGCCGGCCGATATGCCGTCAAGCGGTTCAGGAAGGCCCAGTGCCCCATCATTGAGCGTCTCACCAACTCGCTCATGATGAACGGCCGTAACAACGGAAAGAAGCTCATGGCTGTGCGCATCGTCGCTCACGCTTTCGAGATCGTACGTCTACAATCTGCCAGGTTTCGGAATCGCGAAGATGGCATCAAATGCGCGTTGGTAGACGGCTGACATTTGCAGATCCACATCATGACCGACCAGAACCCCATCCAGGTCGCCGTCGATGCCATCGTCAACTGCGGTCCCCGTGAAGACTCCACCCGTATCGGTTCCGCCGGTACCGTCCGTCGCCAGGCCGTCGATGTCTCTCCCCTCCGCCGTGTCAACCAGGGTATCTCCCTCCTCACCATCGGTGCCCGTGAGGCCTCTTTCCGCAACGTCAAGAGCATTGCCGAGTGCCTTGCTGAGGAGCTGATCAACGCTGCCAAGGGTAGCAGCAACTCGTACGCCATCAAGAAGAAGGATGAGCTCGAGCGTGTCGCCAAGTCCAACCGATAAAGGCGTGCGTTCTGTGTATGGGTGTGCATGGTGTCTCTGGGAGGAGTTCTTTCGAATGGCTGTTCTGGTCGTTTTTTGATCGGACAGAATGAGGGATCTTATGCATGGCATGGCTTTCCTAGGCGATTAAGACCTCTTTCATGGTTGCATGACAAAAATGGACAATACGATACCACGTTCAGATGAGCAGTTGCTGCGTGCGAGGTGATGTTGACGGCCACCGACAGGCGAGAGGAGGCCGGACCCGCTGTTGGAAGGCATCGTGTAGCTGTGAAATGCCACTTCATGTATAACACAACGGCAGAAGTCGTGTAGATCTTCGATGAAATCCAGTACATCCAAATTCATTTATGGGTATCTGATCTCTGTACTTTCTATGTACATGTCTATGCTGCCGCCCTCCCCAACACAGCCCTCTCTAACATGGCTCCAAACTCTTCGAAGCCGACTTTACCACTGTTCTTCTCTCCCAGCTGCTCAGCTTCAGCATAAGCCTTGGCCATGACCTCCTCATCGATCCTTACAAGCCAGTCGTGTCCTGTGATCATGATGTGACCCCCCTCATTTTGTAGTTGCTGCATAAGTCCACTTGCGCGAATCAATCTCTCGACCCAAACCCTATCTTTACCCTCCGCGTACGCTGCGTCGACCAAATCCACGGCACCCCTCTCCTTCATTGTATTCCTTACAAAGGCGACACACCTCTCCCGTCGTGCGGCTTCCATCTCGGCCTCCTTTTTCTCCTCTGCCTTCCTCTCCTCTCGCTCCTGTCTCGCACGCTCGCGAATCTCTTCTTCGACAGCCGCTCGCCGAGCTTTTTCCGCTGCCGCAGTTGCCTCGCGCTCTTCGCGGCCTTCTGCCTCTTGCAGACGCCGCATCTCGGCTTCTGAACGTAGCCATTCGTTGTAGGCGCGTTGTTGGTCTTTTCGGGCTAGCGATTTGGCTTTCTTGGTGCCGACTACGCGTTGGGTTGGTGGGGGACGGTTCGCGTTATGTGGTGGGGGGTTTGCGGGGCCGGGTGCGAAGGCATCGTCGGGTAGTTGGGCTTCTTGCGCTTGAGTGTGTGGCTGTTGATGTTGTGGAAGGGGGACGTCTCCGAAGAGGGCTTGGTGCTGGGCTTGGTGCTGTGGTGGTGTCGGTGCCCGTGGCGGTCGCGCGGCTTCTACGCCATCGTCTTGGAGGACCAACCGCTCGTCTAATGGTGCTTGTTCACCCTCATCTCTCTGTCCGCCTTCTGGGTTTCTGATCCCTTGCCCGACTGGGCGTTGTGTATCCTCGTTGTTCTCTCTTTGATCCGTGCCTGCCTCCGCTGCTTGTCGTTGTGCATTGTACCATTCGCCGATTTGTGGGGCGAAATATAATGTTCCGCAAAGGACTGCTGTGTGTAGAAGATCTTGCGACAGAGGTGTGCCAGATCGCGTGAATGGCAGCAGAAGATTCAGGATTTTAAACGGAAGAGACAATATAGCCCCCATCGTGACGTTCGTGATCGTGTAATTGATGCTAAGGTTTACGCGCTCACGGAGGGTGCGAGCCGATAAATCGAAGTGGGGTTTTCGCGCGAAGGCCAGCTGGTAGCGATTGGAAGCCGCTAGCGGTCCATTTAATAGAGAAGTAATATCTAGGGTATAATAAGGAGTCGATGCTTGTGCAATAACAGTAGTCGTCGTGGCGCTAGAGATGTGCTTCGGGTGAAAGACAATGAATGTCAAGTCAAATTGATGATGCAACTTACAAGCCCACCGTAGGGCTGAGCGCTAGTGCCGCGTTGGTGCTAGCGTACATCTTGCGATCATTCACATGCAACGAAGTGCTCCTGTCGTCAGCACGGCACGAATCTTACAGACGTCTGCGCAATGACACTTTGATTGCGCGCTTCCATCGTATTTTCTGCCCTTTTGGTACAAAACAGTCGCTCTGACCATATCACCGACCTGAGGCCTGAACCTGCATCCATCAAAGCTCGCGTTGATTTGGAAAGCACCAAGATAAGAGAGGGATAATACAGCAGATAATAGTTTCATGAGTGATGGAGTCAGTCAAGACCTGGATATTGGATGCAGGGTGCGTCTCCAATAATATCTAACCTTTTCTTGGAGGGTGCGCCTTACGGCCGATAGCAAAAACCTCGGAGCCTTATTCGCCCTCCTCTCCACATTGTCAAGAGAGGGTAACCAATCGACGTTTTCAACCCCAGCCATAAGCTTTCCCAATCGTTCAGACCCTCCGAGGGCACGGCTGCTGTGTAACATTGCTATGGGGAACGGACTGCGATACCACCGCTTGACGATACGTGCGGAAGGCATGACCCGATTGTCCACAGGTCTGGCCGTCCAACATGTGTACGATGCAGGGATCCGAATCGCTTTTATATCTCTGGACAGGTCCGAATAATGATTACTATACTCTTGTAGCTTTGGCTTCATTCATCAAGGCTTCAATCCACCCGACTCATCATATTCTTCTGTCGACGCTTGTCTGACTCGTACCATTGCCACTCTCCAAGCTATACGATTGGCCCATCTCTACCTCACGCGACGCACATCTCTAGCCTACGGCATATTGAGGCACCTTGCTGCGGGGTCACCACATATTACGCGCCGTATAATTGGTCAACTGAACGTCAACATGGTCGTCGCAACAACAGATGTCTGGCCTAACACGGCGGGCTTCGACACGGATTACGAAGAACACGAGCCCGTGGAGCTCATCGTCAAAGGCACGATCCCACGGCATGCTGCAGGTGTATTGTATCGGACGGGTCCACTCGGCTACAAGGCGAAGACAAACGATGGCAAGATCTGGGCAGCAAGACATTGGTTTGATGGATTCTCATGTGTCCATCGTTTCCAGATTGACTTTCCCGACGCGGACGGCCCGGCGAAGGTTACATACCGTTCGCGACGCACAGTGGATGAGTACCTTGAGATTGTTCGTACGACCGGAAAATTGGATAGTACCACGTTTGCTGCAAAGCGTGATCCATGCGAGAGCTTCTTCTGGAAGGTAAGTCCTGACTGTACGAGATGCACGTGAGGCATACACTGACTTTGTACTTCCACGTCTGAAGGTCATGAGCATGTTCCAGGCATCACAGAATGAGCGCAATGTCGGTGTTACGCTCTCCATCAATATGGCTGGAAGTGACAAGCTTACCAAAGGCGCGAAACCGACGACCAACGGTCACACCAGTGGCGTTGAGACTCTGCACGCCCGAACAGATTCTAGTGCCATCAAGGAAATCGACCCAGAGACGTTGGAGCCGCGCGGTTATGCACGTCAAGAATTCCTTCACCCGGAGTTGAAAGGGCCTTTCTCTGCCGCCCACGCGAAGTCTGACCCCCAGACTGGTGACATGTACAACTTCAATCTCGACTTTGGATACAAGGGTACCTACCGCATCTTCCGTGTCTCGGCAGCGTCCGGCGAGACAGATATACTCGCTACCTTCCATGGTACACCTGCATACATCCACTCGCTGTTCTTGACCGAGAACTACGTCATCCTCTGTGTCTGGAACAGTCATATCACATGGGGTGGCGTTTCGCTTATGTACCACAAGAACGTCGTCGACTCTATCGCGCCCTTTGATCCAAACTCCAAAGCAACATGGTACGTTGTCGACCGCCGCGAAGGCAAGGGACTCGTAGCAACGTACGAAAGCATGCCTTTCTTCTGCTTCCACAGCATCAACGCTTGGGAAGAGTCATCAGCTTCTGACCCTAGCAAGACCGACATCATAACCGAGCTCAGCATGTTTGAGAACCTAGACATCGTCAAGCGCTTCTACTACGACAACATCATCTCTTCCATCGATACGCCTGACTATGAGGGCGAGAAGCGCAGGCCGTGTCTTCCGATGCAGGCGCAATTCCGCCTTCCAAGCGTCAACGCTGGTGTTTCTACTACGATGCCCGCTGAGCTTCTCTTCCAGGCTGACAAGTTCAAGTCGATGGAGCTGCCCACACTCAACCCTGAATACCTCACCAAGCGCCATCGCTACACGTATGGATGTGCCGACCGTCTCCGTTCTTCATTCTTCGACGGCCTCGTCAAGTTCGACAACAAGACTCAGGAAGCTATCTACTGGGAAGTGGACGGCCACACACCTGGCGAAGCGATCTTCATCGCTACCCCCGAAGGTGTGGAGGAAGATGATGGCGTGTTGTTGAGTGTGGTCTTGGACGGATATGCGGAGAAGAGCTACTTGCTCGTGCTCAACGCGAAGGACTTGACGGAGATGGGAAGAGCTGAGATGGCGGGGCCGATGAGCTTTGGATTCCACGGAACGTTCAAGGAGACGTACAAGACGTATCGGGGAGATGTGTGAGCGAGACTGCTAGCGCTCAACAGCGCATGTATCGCTCTTGCCTTTTATATCAACCTTTCGCAATATCATGTTCCAATCTTCATTTCCAGCCATGCGGGGTCGTACTAATGGCTCTATACGGATGATGTGCCCAATCACTGGCAATGAACGCTTCTGCGCACGGCATCAATTCTTTCGTTTCAAAAGTTTCGCAATGGTTTCTGTAATTACTCTGGAAAAAAGGCATCGCTTACAATCTTATCACAAGGTCGTCACTCTCTACAGAACTTGACGACGATGATCTTCCGACGTATACTTGATTGCATTCAGAATCGAGCTACTTGAACCCGTATTGATCTTACCAACCCCTCCTGTCCACCCAGTACCCATCCTTCGACGACTGTTCTGGGGGAGCTTCATTCGTATGATCTTTATACATCTGAGGGCCCAACCAAATCACCGGCTCTTCACCGAGAAAATACAGCTTGCCACCTTTATCAACGCATTGTCCCATCTCCAACTTGTCCAACTCTGCCTGCTTAGTCGCATCACCATCTCCATGCCATGGCATCACCGAAAAAGCACCCTTCAATTCGATAAAGGTTTCATCGTAGAAGAGCATGTAGCATTCGCCAGTCCAACAGGCTCTGTGGCCCAAGGAGTTTATGGCCGATCGCTCCAGATGTTCGCA